TCAGTTCAAGCCAGTAACTTCCCACTATTTCTCAATTATAAAAAGCAGCACTATTGTTTTAAATGTAGAAATGCTAAACTAAAAATTATCAGACAGAGAAGTTTCATGGTGAAGAGTGACCTAGGGAGTAGGTGGATTGGGATCCTAGTCCAGTTAACATCATTCCTTTGGACCCTAGTCTTGATTCACAAAATAAGTATCAAGCTAGATACGATCTCTAGAACACGTTATATCCCTAATTAAATATGCCAATCTAGAATCTGGGTGAAAACAAAAGCTAGAGAAAAAGTTGGTAAGAGCCAACATCATCTTCCTATTTCCACCATTAAAAGATAGCTCTCCTTTGGGAATGCTAAGTAGGAAAAATTATCATTTTGCAACCACCAAAGTAAAGAATGTGTGGTGCGCTTACTTTTTTGTGTGGCCTTTCTAGCCATGAGCTTGTAACTCCCACCCAGGTGACTATGTGATAGGGTAATTGTGGCCTACCAAGAGGATTGGTCAGTTTTGCCTTAAAAGAGAGCCAATTCCAGAGCAAAGAAGAGAAGCCCACCACCACCAAGGAAGGAGAGACCCAGCAGCAGAGACCTGGCAGCAGGAGACTGCGCAGTGGGCTTCACAGCCCACAGAGAGAGAAAGCTGAGGGCCTTTGGGCAGAGACTAAGGGCCAGGGAGAGGCGTGCCTATGAGCACAGCTGGGAGAGGGTATCCTGGTGGAAGAACTGTATCCTGAGTGTTCTTGAGCCTGAATCATAACCGGTACTTCCCTAATAAACCGCATAATTGAGAGTATGGTCTGTGAGTTCTGTGTGGCCATTGCAATGAATTATCAAACCCAGCAGAGAGGTAGAGTGGTGTGTGAGGGATGGTTGGTGTTAGAATTGGCAAAGATGGGGGAGAAAGGAGGCTTGTTTGGTTTCCACCTCAGGGGAGTCAGCCTTGCGCTGCTGATTTTGGTTCTCCTTCCCCCTTGTGGGGTTGGAGGAGGTCAGACACTGCCCCCACACTGTTTTTACAGAATGGTTCAAGCCAGAATCACCAGTGGATGCTAAATCTGTGGGGAAATTATCATGAGGAATAGGACATTTGCATGGTCTTAAAATGTCTCCCCACAGACTGCTTATTAGTTGCAAAGGAAAACATACTAACTGTATAGTGGAAAAATCCAAGTGATCAAAATTAACATCACCAATGAGAGGCAGATGGATATTTTGTACCCCCAGATGTGAGATACTGAGTACACACTATCATTTATGTAATTTTCCAGTCTGGTATGTATAATCTAAATCTAATCATAAGAAAACATCAGACAATCCCAAATGAGGAACATTCTACTAAAATAAAGGAGGGCAAGTAGTTGTAGCTTTCAAAGACAGAGAAAGCTGTGGAGATGTTCAAGTTTAAAGACTAAATGCAAAATCTGATCCTACGATCCTATACTAGAGGTAAATAAAGTACATTTTTTTTGGTCATTTGAGAAAACTAGATTATGAATCACAAAGTATATCAGTATTAAATTTACTGAAGTGTAAAACTGAACAGTGCTTATGTTAAGAGAGTATCTCTACTCTTAGAAAAAATACACAAAAGTATTTAGGGGTAAGGGATCAGTGTGTATGTATTATGTACGTATATATGAATGTGTGTGTACATAAATAAAGAGAGAAAGGGAGAAGCATACAAGTGGACAATGATAAAGCAAGAGGGATAAAATGTTAACAATTGGTGAATCTGGATAAAGGGTATATGGATTTTTTTATATTATTCTTATTCTTGCAACTTTTCTGTAACCTTGTAATTACCTCCAAATAAAAAGTTAATAAAATATCTTTTGCAAAACTAATTTATGCTGCTAGAAATTAGGATAGTGCCTACCCTTTGGGGCAGGATAGTGATGGAAGAATGAGGGGATAATCTCCGGGTAATGCAAATGGCTAACATGCTAAATGAAAGGTTGCAGGCTTAAGTCCACCCAAAGGTGCCTTGGAAGAAAGGCCTGGGAATCTACTTCTGAAAAATCAGCCATTGAAAACCCTACGGGGCACAATTCTACTCTGACACCCATTGGGTCGTCAGAGTTGGAATTGACTCCACAGCAACTGTTTTCTGGCAAGATGGTAATACTGTTTCTTGAGTTGTGTTCAGTTTGGGAAAATTCACTTGAGTTATACTTTTATGTGCTTTTCTGCATGTATATTATACTTCAGTAAAAAGTAAAAAAAACGCCTTCTGCTAAAAGATCACAGCAAATTTTTGTAGAGATAAAGCCTAAACGCTTTTTATTGCACTGATAGAAAAATGGAAAACACTTTTGCTTATATATGTTTATATAATCTAGAAAGAACACCTTGAGGGCAGGGATTATGTCTTTTATGTATCACCCACACATCTAGCAGAAGCCTGCCATATAATAATTTCTAAATTAACGTACATGTCAACTGACATAGGGCTGAACTGGAACAGTTTTAAATGACATCTCTTAGTTGAATTTCTTTTGTCTTTGGTCCCAATTCCTTGCATTCCACCCACAACATTCTCCTCTTTCAAAAAATTACTCCAGTTCATCCCTCCCCAAGAAGTATAGTTAAAAGAAAATTAAACTTAGTTTGAGGATTCTGCTATAGTCCTTCATGTACTCAGTGAAAAAAATAAAGGAAGAATAATTTTGGCTGGAGATCATATAGCTCATACTTTTCATAGCTCTAATATTTTTCTTCTGTTAATCATCCTATGCTAGGACCTGAATTTTTCAAGGTTCATTTTGATGTCCCTCTCTGAACAGGACTTAGAAGTGACTCACCAAGGGTACTCTATTAGTCTCCGAATGTTTCAAAAGCGGAAATTAGAAAAGGCACCACCTCCAGAGACACACAGCCTCATGGGTGTTGTGTTGGGATTGTGGAACCAACTCTTGGGTGGGCACCTTTGTGCAACACATATGCAGGAGACTTGTGACTCACATTTGTCTCAGAATTTTTTTTTAAAATCAGGATAATGATTTAAAGTCATTTATTTTATTAATTTACAAATTTTACATATGTTCCCAGATTCAATCAGGCAAACATATTTACATTTTACAGGAACCTATTTATTCTCTCCAAACAAATAAATGTATCATTCTCTTTTATGGAAAGCTTTCCTTTTATTTTCTTGTAGATCTCCCCTCATCTAGGAATACTTCCCATGATAGTCTCTGAAACCAAAAAACCAAACCCGTTGCCATCGAGTCGATTCCGACTCAGTGACCCTATAGGACAGACTAGAACTGCCCTGTAGGTTTTCCAAGGAGCAGCTGGTGGATTTGAACTGCCAACCTTTTGATTAGCAGCCAAGCTCTTAATCACCAAAATACCTCCAAGTCCTTTACGCTTACTAGCAACCTGATCACTTATTTGATTTTGTATATCTAAAAACTTGTTATCCTTTAAGTGGATTCAAATTTATTTCATACAAAAGAGTGATCTAACTGGAGGGCAGAGCACTTTTCAAGCAGAAATTATTCTTCCAAGGCAGAAACTATTCTTTTTAGTTATGCGGTTTCCTTCAAAATCTCCGTAACTGCTAAGAACTCTGCAGGCTAGGAAATGTTTTTTTTGAGATAGCTAGCTCCTGCCTCCCAGTTTGAGGTTAGATACCTGAGTCACAAATGTATTCACAGATTTCCATTATCTCTCATATGAATGGTTGAAACTTGACTACATTTGAAAGCTGATTCTTCTTTATTTGTGTTAATTCTATTCCCTGTTTTCCAAAAGCACGATATAAAAGACTGAACTGTAAAACAGGCAAAGCACAGCATATTTATTAACTAAAAAAGGAGAGATTCATTGCAGTCATTTAATTAAGCTTAATACATATAAAATACATAGATGTATACGTACTATGTAATATCTGCTACATAAATCACATATATAAACTTACTGTTTATATGGAAAATTCACTATTTTAGGACCATGGCAAAAAGTCTAAATTACAAAATTTTAACACAACTTACTTTCAAATATTTCCATTGACTACAATTACGCTTACAGTGTACCAAAATATAAAATGATAAAAGGAGATCTGCTTTTTAAAATATATAAAAATTCATAATTAAGAAATAAATTATTTGAATATACTTGAATATATCATATATATACACCACCCTTAAAAGTTTCTTCTGTAACACACATAATTTCTTTAATTCATTTACATTGTGAATCTCTTTAAAAACAGTTTTTACTTATAAAAAAAGAAAATATCAACATAAGCTTATTTCCTGTCCAATAAGTAAAACAACAATATACTCAATGGATATTTCTTTCTCAAAATAATACTATTTAATTGCCATCATTAGGAACTATGACAAATATAAGAATGCTAATTAGCCCCGACTTAAATCTACTCCTCACCTCCCCCCTGGCAACATATACCCCTTTAGAAGAAAAACCTAAACAGGGAACAAATTATTTTTATCTGGTATTACACATTTTAGGATAATAGAAACTCCTTCAAATCAGTAAGTTGTTATCCATTATCAAAACACCCCTCCAAGAAAATAGTGATGCATACTTAAAATTCTTATGTTATTTTCACATTTTGGATGTACCTAAGTGTATTTTACAAGAACATAATAGGAGAGATATACGGTTTCTCATTGTACCTTATTACACTAATAGTCTCTTAATTACTCTCCGAGTAATTGAAAATCTAACTAAAGAAGCATCTTTGCATAACATAGCTTGATAAACGGTCATCAAAACAGCTATACAGACTAATCCCAAAGTAAAAAAAAAAAAAAAAAAGAAAAAAATCCCAGTTTATATAATTAAGGTAATAAGATTCTTTTTTATATTAAATATTGACAACTCTCAGCCAGTTCTCCATATTTGTTATGGAAACCAGGTAATAATTTATAACTTAGGAAAAAACACATTTATTAATTATAGTGATCATATATTGATATATGAAATAGCTTATGTTTTAAATATTGTTTTTAAAGATGTTTCTGGAAATCTTACCGTGAGCTGTGTAGTTTGTACAGTTAACTGGTTCTTGTGTGGCATCATTTATTTTTGGATCTTTACAAATATATGTAGGAAAAGTTAAGGAAATATGAACTACATTTCAACACAAAACATGATCTTGTCTTAACTCATATTATGCATTCACGTTTATATTCACATGTAAAAGGAGGATGCTAGTTTGTCCAAGTCAACAAGCACAACCGAAAATACACCTTTAGTGTCACTAAATACCCGAGCTTTAACTTATTACAGGTAAAATGTATTAACTTAGAGGAGCCCTGGTGGCACAGTGGTTAAATGATGAGCTGCTAACCTGTGGGCATTTGAACCCATCTGCCGCTGTGGGGGAGAAAAGACCAGGCCGTCTGCTCCTGTAAAGATTAAGCCAAAACCCAAACCAACTGCCCTCCAGTCTACTCCAACTTACAGCGACCCTATAGTACGGAGTAGAACTGCCCCTATAGGGTTCCAAGGCTGTAATCTTTATAGAAGCAGACTGCCATATTGTTCTCCTGTGGAGCATCTGGTGGGTTCGAACTGCTGATCTTTTGGTTAGCAGTGGAGCGCTTAACCGCTGTGCCACTAGGGCTCCCCCTGTAAAGCCTTGGAAACCTTACAGGGCAGTTGCACCCTGTCCTATAAGGTCGCTATGAGTCAGAACGACGGGACAACAACAGGTTTAGTTTTCATACTGCCCAATTAGTTTCGAAGAATCATCCGGCATCATTTTTTGCCAAGAAAAAGACTTAACTTAAAAGGTCAATGATTCTCAAACTTCTAACATAATGGTGTTCGGCAAATTAGAGCCACTCTACTGTGAAAATCAAATAATGGCTACCTTTTCCCAATACACATAAAAATATGATGAAATAGCTTTCTTAATCTTAAATTCTCTCATAGAATCCTTCTTAAATCTGAGACTTCTGTTATTAGTTTTTCTGTTCTCGAATTGGTGTAATACAGTTTCTAATTCTGTACAAAAATAGCTATTTTAATTTGAATGTAACTCCCACTGTATTCTGTCCCTGCTTTTATCAGAGCTGTGTGACAATGGGCTGATCCACTTAACCACCTCAGCTTCCAGTTTCTTATCTGTAAATAAATAGATAACACATTCAGCCCATACTGTGTGCCAGGCACCGTTCTAAGTGCTTTACCTGTACTACCTCATCTAAGCATCAGAATGGCCCTTTAAATTAGTGCCATTATTTTCCCCATGAGAAAACTGAGTTCAAATAATTTGCCCAAGGTTACAAAATGAAGTAGGAATTCGCTCCCTGGAAGTCCGGGCTTTGAGGATTACATAGGTAATACATGTGAAATTAATGATAAACAGGCGACACACATTAGCTATACCGTTATTCTTTATCTTCCCCCAAGTCGGGAAACTTTTCCAGGGCAGAGCCTGGGTCTTAGCAATCTTTGTATTAGCAGTGCCTGGAACAGGGCCCGGCCCACTGAAAAAGTGTTCAACAGACGCAACGGTAAAAACTGATGGGTCAGAAAACGAAAAGCTAAGGACCAGTAAAACCCTGAGGAAATCAAACAGGGTGGATTCTGCCCCTCTCACCACCACATCACTCTTCACCTCCCGGGGTTCCACGGTCATTAGAGGCCAAGAGTTCTCTCCAGTACAGGCCTAGCCCGTGTTGAGGTCTGCGATCCACTCGTGATCCCAAATCTACCTCACCCAGAGTCCTCACTCCAGGGGGGGCTCCCCACAGAGGATATTGTCCCACTTTGAGGTCCTCGCACTTAAGCGTCTCTTCGCCCCCGACGGCGGTAGTGGCAGCAGCCCCCAAAGGTCCCGTGGTGACTGACACGAACCATAACACACCCAGGAGCTGGGCGACTAAAGCCTCCGGAGCTGCAGTCCCAGCGGGCCAGGTGGCCGCCATACTGGGAACCGGTGCGTTCCCCCACGACTTCCGGTTCCGCTTTCCGGTCTGAACGCGGGCGAGAGAAGGGAGGAGGGAGGGAGGTTCTTAAAGGGACCGGTTCCACTGCCTCGAGAGTTCCCGTCCACGTTTGCCGGTGAAATCACCTGGAAGAGATTTTAAGAAAATGCAAGTTCCGGTCCCCTCCACCCCCACCCTCCCACCTCAGGAGAATTCCCTACTAACCCTTGGAAGGAACTGAAGGAAAGGTTGGTTTTTGAGGGGAGGAAGAAGGAAAAAGCCCTTAGGGAATCAACTGCACTCCACTCACTCCTCACTCCAGAGTTAACCTGGCTGCGGCTTTTCCGGCCTCCAAAAGTGCCAGCGGCGCCCGGTGTTGTGATAAACGCTTTATTTACTTCATACCCGTTAGTCTTGATAGGGTTTGGGTTTACAAATAAAGAATCAGGCTCAAACACGCTAAAAGCACATTGCCGTTTGTTACTGTGACTGAGTTGGAATAAAATTCAAGCTCATCAGATTCTAGAATCTGTGCTCTTACTAATTGTGATATAATGCCTCCTTGTTACCTTAAAAGGCGCCCTGGTGGCGCAGTGGTGAAGGCGCTCTGCTAATCAAAAGGTAGGCGAAAAGGTCGGTGGTTGGAACCCACCAGTCGCTGTGCGGGAGAAAGATGTGGCGATCCGCTTCCATAAAGATTACAGCCTTGGAAACCCTGTGGGGCAGTTCTACTCTGTTCTGTAGGGTCGCTATGAGTCTGAATGGATTCGATGGCAATGGCTTTGGTTGGGTTTGATGTTACCTTAAGAGAAAAATTTGTGAAAGGCTGCTAAGAACATCATTTAGGAACTCTATCACAAAGACAGACTTTACAACTTTTTTTTTTTTAATAGTGGAAATTTACATGGGGCGAGGCCTTGAACAAGAGACCTAAGAATTTACAACTACACTAAGTGAAAAGTTGAGTTTGTTTCTTCCGTGTCTTCTTTCTAAACTTTATATTCTAAAGTTGTGTGGTGAACTATCTTTTATAATGAAAAAATTGTGTATTTTTAAAGTGAAACTTTACTCCTCTTTCTCTAAAATTGTTAAAATATTTTAATTTGATTGCTGCTCCTTCATCCACATTATTGTTGTGTGCTATCCAGTTGACTCCAACTCATAGGACCCTATATGACAGGGTAGAACTGCCCCATGGAGTTTCATAGCCTATAATCTTTACTGGAACAGATCTCCAGGTCTTTCTTCCCAGGAGTGACTGGTGGGTTTGAAATGCTGACCTTTTGGTTAGCAGCCGAGCATTTAATCATTGTACCACCAGAGATCCTTTCATCCACATTAATACTAACTTTTTACGAGCTGTGTAATTCAGTGGCTCTTAAACTTTAGGGGGCATCACTGTCCCCTGGAGGACTTGTTAAGACATAGATTGAGGATGTGCTCCACCCTCAGGTTCAAATTCAGAAGATCTAGGGCAGGCTGAGTAGTTTGCATTTCCAAGGAGTTCCCAGTTTTTGTTGCTGGTCCAAGGATCACACTTTGATAACGTTGTAATGTATTATGAGAATTATCATTTCAGGATGTAGTCAGGAGGACATGAAAGTATTTGCAGTAATCAAGCATTGTGACTACATTTAAAATTTTGCTTAATAAACCTAGTTTGCAGCATTACCATACTATTTTTTAATAAAATATTTATGCTTGATTAAAGGAGCTCTGGCAGGCAGTTCTACTTGTCCTATAGGGTTGCTATGAGTTGGAATCGACTCCATGGCACACAGCAACATTATTGATTAGAGAGGATTAAATGATAGGAAATTTGAAATTTACTAGTTCAATTTTAAACATCCTATTTTAAATGGACTTCTTCCTGCTCTTCCTTCCTGCCTTCATCCCTTCCTTCTTTTGTTCCTTCCTTCTTTTTTCTCTCTCTCCTTCTCTCCAGAAAATGTTGATTAAGCATTTGCTATGTACCCAGCATTAGGCTAGACCCTAAACCCATTACTGTCAAGTTGATTCCTATTCGTAGTGACTCTCCAGGACAGAGCAGAACTGCCCCATAGGGTTTCCAGGGAGTGGCTGGTCGATTCCACCTGCGGACTTTTTGTTAGCAGCTGAGCTCTTAACCACTGCACCACCAGGGGTCCAGGCTAGACCCTAGGGACTCAAAACAAGATGAGAGAAGAACCCAGCAATTAACCACTTTAGTAGGGGAAAAAGAGTTAAAATACTATTTGATGATCATTACCATCATCAAGGACTCTGATTAAGATATTTCCAAAAACAGTACTTGGAACACCATATTTTGTGATTAGCATCAGAATAAATAAAAATCCAGGCCAAACTGTAGCAACAGAGATGTATCTTCATAGGATATAAAACCAGTTCCTAGGGAGTGGACTCTGACTCATGTTGACCCCATGTGTGTCAGAGTAGAATTGTGCTCCGTAGGGTTTTCAATGGCTGATTTTTGGAAGTAGATCACCAGGCCTTTCTTCCTAGTCCATCTTAGTCTGGAAGCTCCACCTGAAACCTGTTCAGTGTCATAGCAATAAGCAAGCCTCCACTGACAGATGGATGGAAGCTGTGCATGAGGTGCATTGGCCAAGAATTGAACCTGGGTCTCCCACATGGAAGGCAAGAATTCTACCTCATAATAAAAAACAGTGACTGTATTTTGACTACTATTTTGACTATTTTTGAAAATATCCTGGTTTGATTTTCAAAATGCTATCTAAAGAAAATCAGAAGAATAAGGGAAGCAACTTTCTAGTTTGAGTTGACTGAAATTATGGTAAAATTAGGTATTTTCCTACTGACTGCAGGAATATTGCTGATCTTTGTATTTACATCATTTTTCATATAGATTTTGAATAATTAACTCTGACAATGCTTATGCTTTGCTAATTAATCCCATCACAAAATCTATTTATATGATTACATTGATTATTCACTAAAAACAAAACAAACCCAGTTGCTGCGGAGTTGATTCCAACTGATAGAGATCCATGTGTGTCAGACTAGAACTGTGCTCCACAGGGTTTTTGATGGCTGATTTATTTTTTGGTAATATTTGTGTTTTAGGTGAAAGTTTACTCAGCAAATTAGGTTTCCATTAAACAATATTTATACAAATTGTTCCGTGCCTTTGATTACATTTTTTACAATGTATCAGCATTCTCATTTTCATTCTGTTTGTTCTGTTTCCATTGATCTAGCTTCCCTTCCCCTCCTTGCCTTCTCATCTTTGCTTTTGGGTAATTGTTGACCATTTGGTTTCATTTAGTTAATTGTTTACTCATGGGTGATATTGTTTATTTTATAAGCCGATCTATTGTTTGGCTGAAAGGTGACCTGCAGGAATAACTTCAAATCCAAGTTCAAAGATTATCTTGAGGCCGTATCTGTCAGTCCGGTAGATCTGGACTTTTTTTAGGACTTTGAGTTTTGTCCTACATTTTTCTCTCATTCTGTCTAGGACCTTCTATTTTGTCCTGGTCAGAACAGTGTGTAGTGGTAGCCAGGCACCATCTAGTTCTTCTGTTCTCAGGTTAGAAGATGGTTCGTGTGGGCTATTAGTCCCAAGGACTAGTTTCTTCTCTGAGCCTTTGATTGCCTTCGTTCATTATAGATCCACATGAGTAGAGACCAATAGTTGTATCTTAGATGTCTGCTTTCAACCTTTTAAGACCCCAGACATTATTCACCAATTTAGGATGTAGAACATTATCTTTGTGAACTATGTCATGCCAATTGACTAAGATGTCCCCCAAGACTCTAGTCCCAGTTCTTCCAACCCTGTAAACCAATCCCACGAATTGTTTGGATATGTCTAGAAACCCTCTGTAACTGTACCCCATATGTGGTTTGTTATTTATGTGAGTATATATGCAGCACACATAAACGTGTATATACTATGCCTGCAGATACACCTATACATGGACATGCGTTTACTTGCGTATGCCTTTCTATACACATTTATGCATCCATATCTACCCATGTAACTGCACACATATTTTTTGGTTGTTTTTACTTTTGTTGCAAAATTGTATGTTATATATAGCATTTACTGAAATTGTCACTTTTTCTCCTGTACCTCTTAGTGTCTTTATTTGTCTTGGTCAAGTTGTGCTGACTTCACCCATTTTTTCATCTTGTCTTTCCCATCACCAAAAGTATCAAGTGTTTGCTATCTGGAAAGTGACTCCCCCTCCTTATCCCTCCCATCTTTGGTAACCATCAAAGAGCTTTGTTTTCTGTATGTATATCTATTCTTGATTTATTATAATAGTGGGACCATGCAATATTTGTCTTTTTATGATTGACTTACTTCACTCAGCATAGTGCCTCCAGATTTATCCATTTTAAAAGATATTTCTCAAACTCCCAATTATTCTTTATAATTGTGTAGTATTCCACTGTATGTATGTACCACAGTTTGTTAATCCGTTCATCTGTTGCTATTGTGAGTAATGCAGCAATGAACGTAGGTGAAGGCATGTCTATTCGTGTCACTGCTCTTATATCTCTAGGCTATTTACCTAGAAGTGGGATTGCTGGATCATAAGTTATTTCTATTTCTAGCTTTTCAAGGAAGTGCCATACTGTTTTCCATTGTGGTTCTACCATTTTAGAATCCCACCAGCAATGTATAAGAGTTCCGATCCCACCACACCCTCGCCAGCGTTTGTTTTCTGTTTTTTTGATCATTGCCATTTTTGCAGGGATAAGAGGGTATCTCATTGTAGTTTTGATTTGCATCTCTCTAAGGATCTTCTTGTAAATTTGTTGGCCACCTGAATGTCCTCTTTGGTGAAGTGTCTGTTCATGTTCTTTGCCCATTTTTTGATTGGATTGTGTGTCTTTTTGTTGTTGAGTTGTTGAAGTTTCCTACATGTTTTAGAGATTAGACCTTTATCAGATATGTCATTACCAAGGAGTTTTTCCCAGTCTCTGGGTTTCTTTTTACTCTCTTGGTAAGGTCTTTTGATGAGTGTAAATATTTAATTTTTAGAAGGTCCCAATTATCTAATTTATCTTCAGTCACTCGTGCTTTTTTAGTTTTGTTTGATAGGCTACTTACACCAAAAATTAAGCCCCATAGTTTTAAGCCGATGTTATCATCCAGGAACTTTATAGTTTTAGCTTTAATATTTAGGTCGTTGATCCATTTTGGGTTAGTTTTTGTGCATGGCATGAGGTATGGATCCTGTTTCATTTTTCTGCATACGGATATCCAGTTTTGCCA